GCTTCGACATTTAAACCGTCGTCTTCGTCGATATCTTGTTAAGGTTCAGCAGAACTATCTTTCTTAGGACGCAGAATGTCTAGAATGAACATTGATTTGACCGTTTCTGGGTACGGATTCAATTAGGGCCACTCGAGATTCTTGGATTATTCCTTATTTTCCTATCACCCACTTCGCACACCAGGTACATACAATATGTGTAACGTTATGCTACATAATAAGGACTCCAGAAAATGGGCTTTACATTTGCGAAGCATGCAAAACCATTGTTTAAGATTTCGCCTAATGCTTTGCTGCAAACGACTACCAGGCCTCAGCAAATGAGTCAGGACTAGAGCGCTCTCCTGAGTCGTATCGTGCATTTTTGTGAGCACGATAGAAGCGCATTAGAATGAACACATCAATCAAATATTGATGTCTATCCGTTTCACATGGAACCGGAACATCGCGCAACGATGAACAATGCAATAATGACCTCTTTGTATCAGCGATGCGTATCCTGCCGTCCACGAATGATAATCATTCAGCCAGGGAAAATAGGCGTGCATAAGAAGACGTAGCGTCCGTTTATCGCTAGCGGTACAAGCGTCAGTGTAGATAAGAGATGGCAGAAGTGGCTGATAGTGCGTCATCAACTTTTAAAAAGGCGTATTGGATGACTTGGATCAATTCACTGATTTTGGCAAAAGCACTGCTGGGTAGACCCGGGTACCCGAAGGGTCCTGTCGGGTGGGTACGGGTACCCGATATGCCTTGAAAAGACATTCGGGTCGGGCAGGGTAACCCGAAGTCCGCCAATTGCGAGCCCTGATAGGCATCTGTTAATAGAACCCTTGATTCTGCTGGCTACACCAAGAGAGTTTAACAGAGAATGCATCACTAATGGGCAATTACATGTTCAGGCATTGTGGAAGCAATACAAGTATAAAAAAAAGGGAAAACGGATCCAAGTAGCCACACTCATTGCTGACCGACAGCTCAACGATTTTTTTTGACATGCAGCACAACTCCCAAGCTACAT